AAGTGCCGTTGAGTCGGTTCCGACCCATAGTGACCCTGTACAGGGTTTCCGAGGGTGTAAATCTTTACGGGAGTAGAAAGCCTCATCTTATAGATACATATAAATAAATAAAATTTTATCTTGTGAATAATGTTCATCTTCATTTCACATTCATATCCGAAATATCAAAATGTTTATTGCCATTATTAATAGCTTTATAATATTGGATATAAGGAGTTCTGGTATAGCTCTGTAGAATACACAGTGGATTATACTAACTCTAAAGATGACAGTTCAAACCCACCTTCATTCCTCAGAAGCTCTATGAAGGGTTGCTATGGGTCAAAACTGACTCGATGGTACAACAATAAATATCTCCACTTTCGTTGCTGGAACAAAATTGATGGCACTGAACAATAATGGATACACCACAATAAAAACTCAAGATAATGCTTATGAAAATACAGAGGTACAAAGAACTTTACGTCTGATTATAGGTACTTCTAAAAAAAAGTGCCTATAAGTAGTACCATTAAGGTGAACCAATGAATGGACATTACAAAGGTAATACATGTACAAGTTAGTAAACACATCAGCAGGAAAAAACCACAAAAGGACCCAATCTTTCTCCTCAAAAATAGCACTTTTGTTCATCCGGCAAGATGGCAGACTAGGCAGATACACTACACGGACCTCTACACCAAAGATTGTTGTTGTTGTTGTTAAGTGCCTTTGAGTCCGACCCACAGCGACCTGTACAGGGTTTCCGAGGGTGTAAATCTTTATGGGAGTAGAAAGCCTCATCTTTGACCTTAAGGTTCGCAGCCCGATTCATAACTACTACGCTACCAGAGCTCCTAAACCAAAGATACGAGTTACAAAATAAAAAAAATATATAGATGAAAATCCTGGAACCCTGAACGTCAAAAGAAATATTAAAGAAGTGGATTGAGTATTTGCTAAGAGGAGAGGATGAGCAGGGACGATGAGAGGAGGCTGACTGATGAAAGGTCAGCCAGAGGTAGTGTGACTTTCTGGAACCATTGTAAATAGCTTTGGCAACAGAAGGGGACTTGGCAGAGCAGAGTCACAGATGGCAAGGAAATCAAGTAGATATCAAGATAAAACATGTGGTTTTAAGTGGGGAAAAAAACCAAGTTACAGGGTAACATCAGTAAAATAAATATACCTGCACACCAAAATGAAAACAGAGGCCACAAGAACACACAGGTGGCTTGCCCAGGAGACATCAAATCAAGTGGTCGGACCCTCTTAGTGCAAATTCTCTTCCAAGACTAAGACACAAGGGAAATATATGCTTTGACGGACAACCACACACGTTACCCAGAAGGGGAAGTGACTGAAGAACATCAATGAAGTGGCGAGCTAAGCCCTACATCGTTCAGCAAACTATTGTGAACCCAGGTGGAGACCTGGTCGGCCAGCAGCAAGGCAACAACTGGGGACTCATGGGCTCAGAGTCAATGACACAGCCA